AATGCAATTAAAACCATGATGAAATATCACCTCATGTTACTGGACAGGGGCCAGTCTGGAACAGGTCTGCCTGAGGCCAGCCTGCAGTGTGTGGGTGCTTGACTTCACGCAGGAAAGATTCCCCAGTGAGACCAGGTGATTGTGAGGGAAAGTCTGTTAAGCTGGGGCAGGGGAACAGGAAGGGCTCAGGGTAGAAGAAGCAACAGGTGAGCCAGGTGGGGCTCCGCTTTGGCTCCTGAGAAACATCACAGGACAGAAGGGGCCAGAGGGGCTGCTGCCTGCTCCTGGGAGTCAGCGGGAAGGAGCCTGGAGACACGATCGGGGTGAGCCAGGATAAACCGCCGCTGCCCACTGCTCCCCTGGTCGCAAGTCTGTGGGGACCCTTCGCGTTTGGGAGGAAATAAAAAGTTCATGCTCAGGAAGGAGCGCGGGTGTGGTGTGCTCTAGAGGGAGCCCACCTGGAATCTTTGTCTTGAGGGCTTTTAACTTTTTTTTTTCCTTTGCAGGTGAGACTCATAGGGGAGGGTTTCAGCAGAACGGGCATCAGCTTCCCAGGTGCATTTTAAATATGCTGATGGATCAAAATGATGCATCAAAATGGATCAAAATTAGGTTATTCTTTGGTCTGTTTCACTTTTTATCTTGGGTCTGCCTGGCTTTAATGGGGTTGCTGTTATTTGTTCCCTGACTCCAGCTGTCCTTGGGTTTAGCTGGCACAAACGGCATTAATTGGGTTTGTGTTCATTTCCCAGACGAGGCTGATGTAAGCTGCGCAGTCCCTGGTTAGGGAGGGGAGGTGGAAGCCATTTGCTTTCACATGTTCTTCGTTAGGGGAAATAAAGTCTTGGATTCACCAGCTGGCTATAAGTTGCTCAAATTATTTGGCCTTGTTCAATTTTCTTGTCTGTTTCCCCATTCCACTTGCCCACCCAGGACTTTTCCTAGCTTCTCACTGTCCTGCCACAGGGGATCCTGCCCAGCCCACGAAGGCCTTTTGCTGGTGTGCAGAGCTGGCTGGTCGACGCACACGGGGCAGGCCCAGCAAGGTCGCTGAGTTCGATTTGGGACACATTGAGTCTGACGCACCAGTGAGCTACCTACAAGCTGTCCGTGTTCAGGAAGCAGTTGAAACCTGAACTTTGTGAGAGAGACTCAGGCTGAAGACACAGATTTAAAAATCATCGTGTAAAGAGGAAAGGGAGCCATGACAAACAGAGAGAATACAGGTGAGGGTGACGTCCAGGGTACAGCGGGAGGAAGTCATCATTGGTGTTAAGTGTTTCAGGAAAGTAGATTAAGAACTAAAGATAGCCCGGCCGGTGTGGCTCAGTGGTCGAGTGTGGACCCATGTGCTGAGAGGTCGCCGGTTCGATTCCCAGTCAGGGCACATGCCCAGGTTGTGGGCCCGATCCCCAGTGGGGGGCGTGCAGGAGGCGGCCAGTCCATGTTCTCTCTCATGGATGTTTCTCTCCCTCTCCCTTCCTCTCTAAAATCAGTAAAAAAAAAAAAAAAAAAAAAAAAAAAGAACTAAAGATAGATTAAGAGCTTGTCCCTGGACAAGAACAACTTTTTTTTTTTAATCCTCATCCGGGGACATTTTTCCATATTTTGTTCAGATAGAGCGGGAGGGAGAGAGAGGAAGAGAGAGAGAGAGAAACATTGACATGAAAGGGACACATCGAGTGGCTGCCACCCGCACGACCAACCAGGGCCGGGGACAAATTGCAAGCGAGGTACGTGCCCTTAGCGGGAACCGAACCCGGGTCTCTCAGTACCACAGGTGGACGCTCCAACCGCTGCGCCAAACCGGCCAGGGCAAGAACAATTTTTGAAGAGGAGATGTTAAGGGTTGTGGGATCAAATATCTTGAAGGGGAGTGGGTGTATTCTCTAACATTTTAAATTGGGGGAAAATGCCCAGTGGGACAGTAAAAACAACACCAGCAACAATAACCCTAAAAGACCATGATCGGGGCAGGAGACCAAAACCAATTTTTGTATTATTTTCCTTTGCTTAGAGACATTAGCATTTTGTGGTTAGAGTTTAGATGGGGTTGGCCAGAAAAAGAGACTCTTCTGTAAAATCGAATAGTGCAACCAAGTGGGAAGCTGGAGCTGGGGAGAGGCTGGGGGAGAGCAGTGGTCGCCCCTGCTGGGACCCCTTGTCCCGGAAAAGATTTGCTGCACACTGGTGAACAACAAACGAACACAACGCTTAGCTTCCAGGGCTGAAGACCTTTTTATTTTATTTAAAACATTTTATTTTTAATTTTTTGATTTGAGAGAGAGGAGAGAAAGAGAGAGAGAGATTCATTTGTTGTTCCACTTCTTTATGCTCATTGCTCGTTGGTTGCTTCTCGTATGTGCCCACAACCCTGGCGTATCAGGACTACATTCTAACCAACTGAGCTACCTACCAGTCCAGGGCTGAAAACCTTTTTCTTTATTTTTTACAATTATTTTCCCCTGGCCAGTTTTGCTCTGTGGTTAGAGCGTCGGCCCACGGTCCAGAGAGTCCCGGGTTTGGTTCCCACTAAGGGCACGTACCTCGGTTGCACTTTGTTCCCAGCCCTGGTTGGGGTCGTGTGGGTGGCAGCCACTCGATGTGTCTCTCACATCGATGTTTCTCTCTCTCTTCCTCCCTCTCTCCCTCCGGTTCTTTCTATCTGAAGATAAATGCAAAAAAAATGTCCTTGGGTGAGGATAAAAAATAAAAATTTTTTCTTTATTAATTTTTAGAGAGAGAGAGAGAAACATCGATGAGAGAGAACATCAATTGGCCGCCTTCTGCACGCCCCCCACTGGGGATCGAGCCCACAACCTGGGCATGTGCCCTGATCGGGAATCGAACCGGCGACCTCTTGGTGCAGGGTCAACACTTGCTCAACCATTGAGACAAACCCGCCAGGCTGAAAACCTTTTTCAAAGAAAGGACTTATTGGGCCCTATTGCTAGCCAGTGAAGGTCCTGGGGCATGAAGGCCAAACTACCGGCCCCGTGGCTCAGGGGAAAAGATAAGCATGTCCTCAGCTCTGGAGCTGACGAGGGTGTTTACACATTATATTTTGGGGAAGAAAGAGGTAAATTGTTTGAAAGAATTTATATTGGCAACAGATGGGGGCGGGTAGGATAAGGTGAAAGGGGGCAGTCTAAAAAATATATTTACTGCCCTGGCCGGTTTGGCTCAGCGGTTAGAGTGTCAGCCTGCGGTCCACAGAGACCCGGGTTTGGTTCCCGCTAAGGGCACGTACCTTGGCTGCAGTTTGTCCCCGACCCTGTACCTTTCACATCGATGTTTCTCTCTCTTCCTCTCTCTCCTTCCCACTCTATCTGAGTAAAAAATGGAAAAATATCCTCGGGTGAGGATATATATATATATATATATATATATATTTACTATTACTTTTAAAATTTATTTTTCAATTACAGTTTGCATTCAATATTATTTTGTAATAGTTTCAGGTGAACAGCGTAGTGGCTAGACAATCAGATACTTTACGAAGTGTTCCCCACAGTATTTCCAGTGCCACCTGGCGCTGCACAGTTATTACAGTGTTACTGACTGTGTTTCCTGTGCAGCACTTTATATCCCTGTGCCCATTTTATAACAACAGATTAGTACTTCTAATCCCTTCACTCTCCCCACGTCCAGCCCCCCAACCCAACTCTCCTCTGGCACCCATCAGTCTGTTCATTGTATCTATAAGTCTATTTCTATTTTGTTTGTTCATTTATTTTGTTTTTTAAAATTCCATTTATAAGTGAAATGATACAGCATTTTGTCCTTCCCTATCTGGCTTATGTCTTAGCATAAGACCCTCTAGGTTCATCGATACTGTTGCGAATGGTAAGATTTCATTCTTATTTATGGCAGAGTGATATTCATTGTATGTATGTACCAATGCTTTTTTTTTTTAAAATCCTCATCTGAGGACATTTTTCCATTTTTTGTTCAGATAGAGTGGGAGGGAGAGAGAGAGAAACATCAACATGAAAGGGACACATCGAGTGGTTGCCACCCACACGACCCAACCAGGGCCGGGGACAAACTGCAACCGAGGTACGTGCCCTTAGCAGGAACTGAACCGGGTCTTTCTGGACCAAAGGCTGACGCTCTAACCGCTGACCCAAACTGGCCAGGGCATACCAATGCATTTTTACCCACTCATCTCTCTCTTTTCTTTTAAAAATATGTTTTCATTGAATTTTTAGAGAGAGAGGAAGGGGCAGAGAAATAGAAACATGTGTGAGAAACATCCATGGGCTGCCTCCTGCACGCCCCTACTGGGGATGGAGGCCACAACCCAGACACGTGCCCTGACCCAGAACCCAACCGGGACCTCTCAGTCCATGGGACATGCTCAGTCCACTGAGCCACACCAGCCAGGCAAAGAGTACGGCACATCTTAAACATTTTTGTACCCAGTACATTATTAGGAAGGAGCTCAATAAATGAGAGAATAATTGAATATATAGAGGAGGCAGCGTCTGAAAAGGCTGCGGGACGGTGTAATCCCGGAGTCCAGCTCGGAGGCAGTGACCGCCAAGCCTCACCCAGGAGGACCTCACTCTTATCCAGCCCGGTGCCAAGTCCCATTCCTTCCGGGGACGGGGCTAGAGGAACATCCCGCCTCTATCTGTCAACTGACCAATCACCGCCTCAGGAGGGCAGAGGTTTCCATGTGTCCCCGCCCCCCGTGGGAAAGCAAACACGTTCGGGCTCCGTTCAAACGGGCCAATGAGAGCTCGACGTCCCTGGGGTTGCGCTTCGCCCATTGGCGGGAGTTGTCGCCCTCCCTTTCGTCAGGGCTCTGGCCCCGCCCCCTCGCACGCAAGATGGCGGCGCGCAGCCGACTGGAGGCCGCTCCTGCCGTGCGCCGAGGTTGACGCCGCTTCCCGCTCCCTCTTCGGGCGCAGGGCGCCGCGAGCCGGGGCCGGGGGCCGGGCGGGGACAGGGCACCTGCGTGGCAGGACCGCGAGCCCGCGCCCAGCCTGCGCCGCCCCACCCGGCCCCAGCCCGATCCAACCGTCTGGTCTCCGGGCTCGGACTCTGCCTGGCCGGGGTGCACGCCACCAGGTCTCCAGACCGAGGGCTCCCCTCCAGCCGGGCTCCCCTCCACCTTGGAGATGTGCGGCCTCTCTCCTCCCAAACAGCCCGCCTTCAAAGCTGGGACCCCCGGACGGGCACCTGGATCCCGGTTCCACTGAGACCCACTCACCTGTAACCCGCTTTCTCAGACTCTCGTTCTCGTCCTTGGTGGGAGACGTCTCACTTCGCTCAGATTGACCCCTGCCCCCCAACATTGGCAGCCTTCCCACCCCCCTCAACGGGGAGCCAGACGTTTTTGGGGACTAACTTCCATAGGTCCGTCATGGAGGCGGTGTACCTGGTGGTGAACGGCGTGGGCCTGGTGCTGGACGGGCTGACCTTAGTGTTGGACCTCAACTTCCTGCTGGTGTCCTCCTTCCTGGCCTTCCTGGCCTGGCTGCTGGCCTTCATCTACAACCTGCCACACACTGTACTGACGAGCCTTCTGCACTTGGGCCGCGGAGTCCTACTGTCATTGCTGGCCTTGATGGAAGCCGTGATCCGGCTCACTTCTGGGGGCTTTCAGGCCTTGGGTACCTCCCTGTACAGCTGCTACTCTGGCCTGGAGAGCCTAAAGCTCCTGGGGCACCTGGCCTCCCATGGGGCATTGAGGAGCCGGGAGATACTGCACCGCGGCGTCCTCAATGTGATCTCCAGTGGCCACGCTTTGCTGCGCCAGGCCTGTGACATCTGTGCCATTGCCATGAGCTTGGTGGCCTACGTGATCAACAGCCTGGTCAACATCTGCCTCATTGGCACTCAGAACCTCTTCTCCCTGTTGCTGGCCCTGTGGGATGCAGTGATGGGGCCACTGTGGAGGATGACGGATGTCATGGCCGCCTTCCTAGCCCACATTTCCAGCAGTGCTGTGGCCATGGCCATCCTTCTCTGGACCCCCTGCCAACTAGCAATGGAGCTCCTGGCCTCGGCGGCCCGCCTCTCGGCCAGCTTTGTGCTGGTCAATCTCACTGGCCTGCTGCTGCTGGCTTGTGTGCTGGCAGTGACAGTGACCGTGTTGCAGCCGGACCTCACCATGAGGCTGGCCACCCGGGCACTCAGTCAGCTTCATGCCCGGCCATCCTACCGCAGGCTGCGAGAGGATGTCGTGCGGCTGTCTCGCCTCGCACTGGGCTCGGAGTCTTGGCAACGCGTCTGGAGCCGCAGCCTGCAGCTGGCAAGCTGGCCAAACCGGGAAGGGGCACCTGGGGCTCCCCAGGGTGGCCCTAGAAGAGTCGCCTCAGCCAGGACCTCTCAACAGGACACTCATCCTGAAGCAGGGCCCAGATCAGAGACAGAAGAGGAGGAAGTCGGAATGGCCAGAGTGACAGCCACCTGGGGCAGGGAGAGGCTCAACGAGGAGGAGCCTATAGCTGGGCAAGACCCATGGAAGTTGCTGAAGGAGCAAGAGGAGCGGAAGAAGTGTGTCATCTGCCAGGACCAGAGCAAGACAGTGCTGCTGCTGCCCTGTCGGCACCTGTGCCTGTGCCAGGCCTGCACCGAAATCCTGATGCGCCATCCCGTCTACCACCGCAACTGCCCACTCTGCCGCCGGGGCATTCTGCAGACCCTCAATGTCTACCTCTGAACAGTCCCTCCCTCCCTGCCCCTCCTGCAGCTCCACACTCCACACGGCCACCTGTGCGATGACAGCATTAACAGCTGATCTCCGGGTCCTGGCCTGAATCCCCTTTTGTCATCATGGCTGTCACGCCTCCAGGCCATACGTCCAGGACATTGAGATGGGATACCCTGGAAGACTGGCCTGGGTGGGGGCAGGATAACAGCGCCTCTGTACTCGCGGGTCCCTGCAGGGCTGAGGGTGGTGTGTCACTATGCCAGGCCCTGAGACGGTTTGCTGTGGACTCCCCTCCAGCTTGCCAGGGCCCACCCAGATGCTGGCCTCTGGGGGCTCCCCACCTCTGCTTGTGGGTTTTCTGTTGGGGATTTGCAGGTCCTCTCCCTGCTCCCTCCCCAGCTACAACCACAATACATCAGTGTTATTTGGGTATTTTGGCAACTCGAGGGCCCTTGGAATGATCTTGAACCTTTGCTTTCAGCCAGAGCTCCTGTGCCTGGTAGGTTTAGGGGGGTAGTATCTGTCAGATGCTCTTAGAGCTACCACTTTGCCTGTCACGATCTTATGAGGCTCTCTCTCAACCTGACCCAACAGCTGGGGTCAGGGGTTTCTCTCTTGGGTGGCGGTATCTGCACTTGGATTTGGGACCATGAACCCTGGTACCCCAGCTCTACTGGGAACCTCAGAAGAGATAACCAGATTTCTATTTATATCCCTTTTATTCCCCACATCACAGAGAAAAATGGCATTCCCCTCTGTTTGTCTCTCCCTGGCACTGGGGAGGGCACACATTTCACTAGGGTCCAAACAGTAGGGGCCAGGGCCTAGGGGCATGCAGTTACTCCCTGAGGGTCTGGCCCACTTTCCAGCAAATAAAGTTTTGTTGACAGCCCTGAGCCTCTGTGTGCATCCTTGTGAGGGTGGCAGCTGGTCAGGGTAACTGATACCGCAGCAGGGCCCTTCAGTCCCGCTGGTCACAGGTGTGGTCTGGGGCACCTGGTGGGGGAAGAGAGAAGACGGTGGGAGCACGGTGCCTTGAAGAGAGGCAGTGCCAGGCGTGGCCGGATTGGCTTCATCCACTCCAGTTTGTGCCCTCACATGAACCGCTTGGAAAGCCCTCCCTGTCTTCTGTCTGCCAGCAAGCCCTTGGAGAGAAGTGTGAACTCTCTCATCCAGCTTTTCCTCTGGTGCCACTGTTCCCAGGAGGGAACTTGGGGCTCCCGCTGGCTGTTGTCTACTCCAATCCCTGGAGGAGCTGGTGCCTGTCTGTGTGTTTTGGCATCGGGTGGTGCTCTGATGGGACCTCCTGCTGTAGAGCAGGGAGGTGAGCCCAGTACTGCTGAGGCGTCTCCAGCTCACTTAGCCCAGTCCCCACGGTTACATTTGCCCTCATGTGACCAGCAAGAGAGGGGCACATTCCCCCATAATTGCTAAATCTAGGAGCATAATGCCAGGGGCAGTCTTCTGGAAGTGAGGGGACAGGGAAAGGGGTAGGCCACTTCCTTGGGGGGAGAGGCTGAGCTGGTGTGGGCCTTGTTTGTTAGTTACTGGGTTGGGGCGTGGGGCTGGAGCTGGCTTCCGAAGGTCAGAGGAGGGGAGCCTTGGAGGGCTCAGACTTGGTGGCGCAGGCCACCCCAGCTATGTCCAGCACAGCGCGGGGGCGGGGGTGGGGCTGGGGAGGGTGGGGAGTTCATGGACAACTCCACCTTGGAGTTGGGAGGCCCGAAGGAGGGCTTTCTTCCCTTCCCCCAGCCCTGGAGAGGGAGTTGAGCAAGGAGAGCCTAGGCTCCTAACGTTGTTTAATGTGAGGTAAACATTTTATGAGAGAAGATAAACTTCCTGAACTGGAAGAGAGGGCCCTTTCCCTCCACCCCATCTAGAATTCCGCGGCCAACCTCCCTACCCTTTCTCCCCACCACCAGCTACCCAGGGTCACAGCTGCATTCCAGAGCTGGGGCGCCCTCTGGTGGTCGTCTCAGAAACGACTTATCTGTAGACACCCTGGGACACGGCACGTCCCTGACACGGGGGAACCAGAAACTGCCTTCCAGTCATCCGGGGACAAGCAAGCAGCAGGGAATGGCGAGTGAAAACGCCGGGCTCCTTCTTTTGGGTTGATGAGAGCAGGGGTGTGCGTGGTAAAGGTGGCCCCCAGCCAGTTCATGTGACATCTCTGAGTTCGTGAAGGTGGCCAGAGCCCCACACCAGGAGGAACCCCCTCAGCTAGGTTCAGAACCCACACAGGGCCAGCTCGGGGGCAGCCCCTCAGTCGCTGGGCCTGCCTCCTGTATCTCCCGCCCCTTAGCTCATCCAGCCCAGAGCCCCCCTTTCCACCTCCTCTGCCCCCCGCCCCAGGGTATCCCCACCACTACAGAAGAGAGGCTGAGCCAGTGGGAGGGGGTTTTAGGTTTAATGAACAGTCTAAGAAAAGGGCCCAGGAGGAGAAGGGAAGAGGGAGGACTCAGAGAAGTAAGTAGAGGACCAGGAAGAGAGCACCCCACCTTAGGGTCCGGGGCCGGAGGACCCACACCTGCCGGCCCAGTGCTCTGCTTCGGCTTGGGCACAATCCAGCCAGTGCCCTGCGCTGCAGGCCCTGCCCACTCCTCCGGCAGCAGGACCGGCCCATCCCACCCCCTGGTCGTTCACAACAGTCCAGGGGGCCAGCCTTCCTGGGTGATGTGGCGGACAGTGCCACGCCCCTCCGAGGAGTGAGCGGGCAGAGGCTCACCCCCAGTGGGCATCAAGCGAAGACGGGGGAGCTGTGCCAGTCGGAGTAAACCAGGAATCCGGAGAAGGTGCTGTCCGTCTTGATGCTGGCGTAGATGCCGATGTAATCGCCCACACCGACCTGCACCCACACCTGGTCCTCGGGCTCCAGCCTCACCATGGCGCCCCCGGAGAGCGAGGCCGGCTTGGGCCACCCCCCAAAAAACTGGAAGAAAGAGGCTATGGACTCGCCGTTCTTGACCAGGTCGAACTGCAGGCTAGTCCGGTAGACGGTGGCGTGGACCGCGAAGTAGTAGACCCCGGGCACCTGGCAGGTGAACTTGCCGGTGGCGGCGTCGTAATGGCCCTGCTCGTTCAGCAGCACCCGGTCGAAGGGCAGGGGCGCGTCCAGCGGCGGGGGCACCCGGCTTTCGGAGCGCTTGGCGCTGAAGGCAGAGCGCGGAGGCACCGAGCAGTCCCCCGCCGGCCCGGCCGCCCCCGTGGGGCCTGCCTCCCCTCGCGGCCCGGGCTCCCCACGCGGCCCCGGCAGTCCTGCGGGGGTAAGGGGAGCAGTTCGCGTGAGTGTAGCGGCCGGCCCGCCGGAAGCGGGGGCGCGGATGGGAGCCTCCCCATTTTCCTAAGCGCCCCAGCGGCCACCTCCCCGGCTCGCCCCGCCCTGGCGCCGGGGACCCCCACCACGGCCCTGCGGAGCCGGGCAGATCTGACCAGCTGGGCAAATAGGGTCCCGAGAGTCCTGGTCCTGGGGGCTGAGTCACCGGCTCCTGTCCCCTCCCAGGGCAGAGCGGGAATGGGCGGGACCGGAGCGGCGCCCCCGCGGGGACTCCGAGCCCTGGGCCCCCGGCCCGAGCTGGAGCCGCAACTGGAGCCGGGCCGCGCCAGCTCCGACGTCCCCGCCGCCTCCTTACCCGGCCTCCCGCCCTCGCCTTTCTCTCCGGGCGCCCCGGGCGCGCCGTCGCGGCCGTCGCGGCCGTCGCGGCCAGGCAGGCCCTGGGTGCCGTGGTGGCCCGGAGTGCCTGGCAGGCCGGGGTGCCCCGGGCACAGGCTGGGGATCTTGTTGTCGTCCAGCGGGGGCGAGCCAGCCGCCAGGCCCAGGAGCAGCAGGGCGAGCAGCGGCCTCATGGCGCCGGCACGGGGCCCGGACGCCGGTCCTCTCGGAGTCTGTGGGCTGGGTAGGACAGGAGTCGGCCCCGAATTCTGGGACCTGCCTTGCTCTCCACCCCATCGCAGCCGAGTCGTCCCCACCCCACTGCCGTGTCCCTGGAGCTGAACGACCGCGGGGAGACGAAGAAACGGGGTGGCCCTGGACACGACACCCTGAGAGCGCAGCCAGAAAGAAGGGAGAAGCCGCTCCCCACCATCCCGCCCGCGCCCAGTCTTTCCCACAGTCCCCTCCCCCATCCCCATTCCCCCTCCACAGACTCACCCCCTTCCCGGCTCCTGGGGAGACTCCCTCTCTCTAGGGCCTCCTTCCCCGCCTTGCAACCCGGGCCCTCCCCACGACCCCCGCCCGCCTCTGCGCTGCCCTGCAGCCGGGCGCCTGCCCCCGGTCCCCTGGTCCGCCCGCTCCCTGCGCTCTGCCCTGCGCGCTCTGCTCCGCCCAGACTCCGAGAGGAAACCGAGAGCTCCCGCCGGGAAAGAGCAGGGAAGTAACTCGTGGTGTGCCAGGCAGTTGGCCAAGCTTTTGAGGGAGAAAGGAGGGGGAGAGAGACTGAGCCGGACACAGAGGCAGCCCGGGAGGACACTCAGAGCGCCTGCCGCTCCGAGGAGCTGGAAAGAGAGGGGCCAGTGGCCGAGGCTGAGGACAGACTCCAGTCCAGGAGAAACACAAGCCAAGACAGAGGGTGGGGACTGCTGGAGGCAGACAGACAGGCAGACACCGGATCTCCGGGCTTAGAACAGGGCCTGCTGCGTTACCTGCTCTCACTGAATAAAGCAAAACGTCAAAAAGCGGGTGACAGAGAAACCTGGAAGAGCAGATGGACAGGGGGAAGCAGAAGTCAGGAAACTGGGGCCAGAGGGAAGCAATGTAGGGTGTCACTGGCACAGCCTGGAGCCAGGCTGGTGGCCGCTGGGCTGGTACAGGGACAGGGGAGGAGCTGGGAGAATGCGAAGGTCTCAGCCTGACTGAGGACTTCCTTCCTTCCTCCAGAGAGGATGGGCAGAGTCCTGTGCTGGTCCCCCTTCTTTTGTCCCCTTGCTTGCCCACCCTGATAGGCAAAGCAGGATGGGCAGGCAGAGGGCAGGGGTCCACTTTAGCCTCAGGGCTGGGCACAAGCCTCCAGGCCAGCTGTCTCAGGCAGCCTGTGGCAGTTGAAGGGCCAGGGGATGCCCAGGAGGGCCAGGCCGGACTGGCACTGGCGCTCTGCCTCCTGGCAGACAGAGCGGCACGGGGGCAGGACACTGCCTAGTGGGGTGCATTGGGGCACCAGCAGCCCACAGAGGAGCCTCCGGAAATTCTGGTAGCAGGGCAGACTGGCCAGGCTCTGTGAAAGGAGACCAGCCCTCAGGCACCCGCCTCCCAGGCTCCCTCCCATCCCTGGGGGTCCCTCCTTGTCTCTGCCCAGAGTACCTTGTAGCCTCTGAGGACCTCCACCACCTCCTCTTGGGTGGCCATGCCAACCCAGATGTTCGGGAAGGCCGTGGTGTTGTAGCTTAGCCCGGTACACATCTCTACTTGGATGGGCTCACAGGCCGTCTCTGGAGGGGAGCAGGGGAGGGTCACTGTGGGGACCGCTCAGTGGCTGTGTCACCGGGCCACCTAATCACTCTACAGGGGTCAGAGGGGTTGTTGTGAGAATCTAAGGAGACAGAGTGGGAAGATGCATCACACAGGTGGAGGGTTCCGCTGCCCTCCAGAGTCTGCTGCAAGCACCCCTGGCCAGGCGGGGGCGCCGAGTGGGCGCTCTGGTCCCAGGGAGCATGGGGCCCCAGCAGGAGCCAGAGCGTCTAGAGGGTCTTCTTTGAGGTGGGCTGTGGAGAGGGGCTGCCTCTCTCCGGGACAAGGCTGCCCTGATGCCTGAAGCCTCCACCACTGAACGTGGGGGTGACACAGACTGTGAAGAGTCAGGACAGTGAACTGCCCTCGCCAGGGAGGGTACAGATGCCTTTTGAAGTGTGTTATGAACGGGCACCCAGTCTGCTCGGCCTGCCGGCCCTGCAGCAGGCTCTCACCTGGGGGTGGGAACAGGGGGACCCCGCACTTGTCATCGCCACTGTCTGCGCAGTCTGTCCATATGTCACACAGCCACCGCGAGCTCTCGCACCCTGCGCCCTGGCAGGAGGGCCCTCTGGGCCCACAGGGGTCTGCAGGCACAGGAGGAATGGTCGTGCCCCGGGGCAGGTCTGTCCCCACCGCCTTCACAGAGCCCGCCAGGGTCCGGAGCCCTTCCCTGCTCTGGAGGCACCTCTGCTGCCCACACCCCCTTGCCCAAGGGCACCCACTCTCTGTGGCATTGAGGGCCCGGTAGGTGGCTGAGAAGCCCGTGCTGCCGGCGCTGGGGTCTGTCCTGACGCGTATAGCCAGTTGGTGGTGCGAGGAGAGGACACGAGGGGGCAGTTCCTGTCCGCAGAACCTGCCCAAAGGAAAGAGCATTCCTGGGCATGGGGCTCGAGGCTGCGCGGCCTCCCTCAGGGCTGGGTGCTCCCGGCAATGCCAGAGGGCACGGGAGGCGTATCCCACCATGGAACCTGGGGTGTGTGAGGAAGACACACGCAGTCAGAGGACAGCGGGTTGACCAGCTGCTGGACCTGGAGCCCCTTTGGGACGGGAGAGTCCGTGAGGATGGGAATGAACCCGCAGGAGGGAGAGCGGGGAGCGCGAGGGCTGGGGGGCCGTGGAAGGAACGAGGGCTTGGAGGTGAGGGGACACGCCTCCTTCAGGGTGACAGTGACCGGACCTCTGGCTTGGAGTAGCCAAAGGAAACGAAGTGAGGGCGTGAGCTGGGCTGATCTGCGGGCTCCTCCCCTGGCTCTGCGGGTACCTGCCCAGGAGGCCAGGGGCCCCGGCGTTGCTGGCCTCATACACCTCCACGTAGTCCAGCTCACACCCGTCCTGGGCTCCCAGGCTGAAGTTGTGGAACTGCAGCTCCAGGCCGTGTCCGGCAGGGACCGAGATGCGCCAGGTGCAAAGCTAGGGGAGGGCGCAGGTGGCGTGATCCACACGTTCTTTCTGTCCCAATCTGGGCACCCCGGCCGAGTGTCAGAAGGCCCTCCTCCCCGTGGCAGGCTAGGCAGGGGGGGGGCGTGGGCACTGCCCGCTGGCTCTCATCATAGGTGCTTGTCCCGATAGGAGGGGCCTTCGAACTTGTCTGGTCTCAGAGATCAGCTCGGCCAGCGCGGGGCACCTGGCATGCCCTAGGCACCTCATGGTGCTCCCTTCCTGCCTGCTGGCTCTCTGACCTTCCCCAGTACCAGGCAGTGTCCACCATGCTGTGCCCAGTCACACTGACTCTGTTCTCAGGTGTGCCCAGGGGTGCCACACCACCGTCCCCTGGAGGGCTGGCTTGCCTGTGGGTGGGGGTACTCCTGCGGGTGGCTGGGAGCAGAGAAAGTGCCCTGGAGGCCAGTCAGGTTTCCCCCACATCCTGCAGAGAGGAGGAGGTCACGCGTGGCCGGTGCCTGTGCCTTTGCCCGGCACGGGCTCTAACAGCGAGGGCAGCTTTGGCCACGCCTGTGGGGGAGCAAGTTCTAGGCCAGAGGAATGACCAGGCAGGTTTGGGGCTGGGCCAGAGCGGGGTGCCCAGCCGGAACCTGGACCCCCTGCCTGGACAGCACCCCCCCCCGCCCCCGAGGCTGCGGGGCTGTACCCGGGGACGGGGCACTGCAGTTGTTCTCGTCACTGCCGTCGGTGCAGTCGGCAAAACCGTCGCACACGGAGTCCGGCAGCAGGCAGAGTAACTGGTCGCAGAGGAACTCGTCATGGGCACAGCTCCCTGGGGGCGCGGGGAGGCATCTGGATTCAGCAACACCAGAGGCTCCACCCATTTTGCCAGCGCTGGGCGTGGCCGGAGGAGAGGCAGTGGACCAAGGCCAGGCAGCCAGCGACACTCACCATGCCCGGGAGCCACAGCCTGGTACCAGGCATGGAAACCAAGTCCCTCCACACTGCTGTCAGAGACGAAGGCCACCCGGAGGTGGCTGGCATTGGTGTTGAGTGTGGGGGGAGGCACCCTCCCACATACTCTGCAAGAAGCCAGGTTAAGGGTGATAGAGGCTCAGAGCGCAGGGCCAGCCAGAACAGAGCCTGCCTGGGCCCCAAACTTGTGACGACATGGTCCAAGGCCCCCTTCATCTCTCAGGGAGCTCCGAATTTCCTGGCCCCTGGGTCTCCACCATTGAAGCATTTGTTTATGGGAGAGAAGATAGGGTCTCTGTTGTATGGATTCGGAAACTGTGCTTAGGAGGGGAAGTGACCTTCCCAAGGTCATACAGCTGCTAGCAGAGCTGGGCTTAGAGGTCGAGACTCTCAGTCCCTCCCCGTCCAGCCTTTTCCATGGTAGCCCCTGGCTGTCCCTCCAGGCGGTGATGCAGGACAGAGGTGGGACCTCCTGGGGGCAGAGGGACCCACCTGAGGAGGGGGCCTTCAGGCTTGGGGGAGATTTCCAAGCGATCAAAGAGACAGGAGGCCACACCCTCCATGTGGAGGGTTTCCACCTTGAGCTGTATTGCGTGGTCTGTGGACACCTGGATGAGCCACATGCAGTGGGCATTGGGTGGATAAGGGTCTGGGTAGTTGGGGCTGCTGAAGAAGCCCCTGGGTCCAAGAAGGAGGCCCCCACAGGCTGCAGACACAGAGGTGAGGGAATTCAGAGGTCAAAAGGAGGGAGGCCCTTTTTTCCCAAGGGGCCATTCTGGGCCCCCTCCCTTCAGGGCCCTGGGGAAGGTCCGCCCTTAGTACTCACTGGACTGGGGTGTGGCGCTTATGCCCGCCTCCTGCTGCCCTGCAGGGGTCCCAGTTGCCTGAGAGGGGGTGGTGGTTGTGGCTGGGGGGGTGCCAGTGGTGGTGAGGCCTCTAGTGGGCAGGGGATGATAGGAGGCTCCAAATGGGGGTGTAGCTTGCAACTCTGGGGGCAGGAAGATGGGGGAGCGGGGTTCAGAGGAGCTGAACCGGGGGAGACGGTAGCATAGCTCATGGAGTCTCACTTTAAAGCCTTCTCCCAAGCAGGCCCCGGGTACTCACGGGCCAGGATGAAGGTCACGAGCAGCCCCAGCAGCAGGAGCAGCAAGCTGGCCAGCAGGGTGGCGCACAGCCAGGAGAAATGGCAGTCGGGCTGCAGCCCTCGCGGACGCCAGCCTGAGGGGGGTGGGGTGGGCTGAGAGCCCCTCTCCTCAGGCCCCCTCACAGTGCCCGCAGCTCCTGGGCCCGCAGTCCTCCCCCAGGTGACCCCTGAGATGGTTACCGTGCCAGGGAGCGCGGGCGCTGCAGCGGGCATCCTGCTGGGCCGGTGGAGGGCAAGGGGGCCCTGATTCGGGCTCGAAAGCAGGATTGCAGAATTCAGTCTGAAAGGGAGAGGCTGGGAGGCTGGGGCGGGTGGCGGGAATGCCTGGCAGGTGCGTCCGCGGGGCTCTGCCAGCCCTGGCAGGAGCTGGCTTCGGAGGGTGGTTCTCCGGGGCCTCACCTTGCTCAGCTCTGTGGACTCCACACACAGGACGATGTCTGAGCAGAGCTCCCGGCTCTGCATGGCTCTCTGGAGGCCTTGCAAAGTCCAGACCCCCCGGGCACTCCCTGGCCCCAAAGTGCCTATCGAAGGGGTCGCCTGTGCTCCTGAGGGAGCGAGCTGCCAGGCTGGACCAGCTCTCTGGCCACAATGGGCAGACTGGCTCGGGCTCCTGGCTACTTCGGCTCCGTGTGGGGGAGGGGCGGCAGCCCGAAGGAATTTGCAAAGGCATGAACCAGTCTCTTAATCCAACTCAGCTGAGGATGCTGAGGTCCAGACCCTGGCACAGGGCAGCCGTCCTTAAAGGGACAGACAGTGGCTGAGAACATTCCACAGAAGAAACTAGGTGCACTGTGTGTGTGTGTGTGTGTGAGTGTGTGCATGTGTGAGTGTGTGGGTGTGTATGAGGGTTGTGTGTGTTGAGTGTGTGAGTGTGTATGTACGTGTGTGAGTATGTGTGTGTGTTGAGTGTGTGAGTGTATGTGTGTGTGCACATGTGTATGTGTGTGTGTATGAGTGTGAGTGTGTGTGAGTGTATGACTGTGTGTGTATGGGTGTGAGTGTGTATGTGTGTGTGTTGAGTGTGTGTGAGTGTGTGTGCACGCATGAGTGTGTGGGTGTGTGTATGTGTGTATGAGTGTTGTGTGTGTTGAGTGTGTAAGTGTATGTATGTGTGTGAGTGTATGAGTGTGAGTGTGTATGTGTGTGTTGAGTGTGTATGTGTGTGCGTGTGTTGAGTGTGTGTGTGCACGCATGAGTGTGTGGGTGTGTGTGAGTATGTGTGTATGAGTGTTGTGTGTGTTGAGTGTGTGAGTGTATGAGTGTGTGAGTGTGTGTGAGTGTGTGTGCACGCATGAGTGTGTGGGTGTGTGTGAGTATGTGTGTATGAGTGTTGTGTGTGTTGAGTGTGTAAGTGTATGTATGTGTGTGTGTATGAGTGTGAGTGTGTATGTGTGTGTTGAGTGTGTATGTGTGTGCGTGTGTTGAGTGTGTGTGTGCACGCATGAGTGTGTGGGTGTGTGTGAGTATGTGTGTATGAGTGTTGTGTGTGTAAGTGTGTGAGTGTATGAGTGTGTGAGTGTGTGTGAGTGTGTGTGCACGCATGAGTGTGTGGGTGTGTGTGAGTATGTGTGTATGAGTGTTGTGTGTGTTGAGTGTGTGAGTGTATGTGTGTGAGTGTGTATGTATGTGTTGAGTGTGTGAAAATGTATGTGTGTGTGCACATGTGTATGTGTGTTTGTATGAGTGTGAGTGTGTGTGAGTGTATGACTGTGTGAGTGTATGAGTGTGAGTGTGTATGTGTGTGTGTTGAGTGTGTGAGTGTGTGTGCACGCATGAGTGTGTGGGTGTGTGTATGTGTGTATGAGTGTTGTGTGTGTTGAGTGTGTGAGTGTATATGTGTGTGAGTGTGAGAGTGTGCGTGAGTGTGTGTGAGTGTGTGTGAGTGTGTGTGAGTGTATATGTGTGTGAGTGTGTGAGTGTGTGTGACTGTTAAGTGAGCCCTGAGTGGTGCTCGGAGGGAAGGAGGACGGTGGGGCTGCTTTGCAGGCTGAGGGAGGCGCGGGGTTTGGTGGCTTCAAGGCCCGAGTCCTAAGGGCCCTGGACAAACATCGGAGCAGCTCTCCCCCCACAGGGCGACTGGGGCCTTGGCCATGCCCGGGCCTGGGAAGGCCCCTGTGCAAACACCGGGGTGACCAGCACACGGAGCTGGACCGTTTCAGGAAGAACATGGGGCGTGTGGGCTGCTTGGGTCTGTGCTACCAGGAGCGGGGGCCCAGGGGGTGGCAGGAGGAAGGACAGGAGAAGAGAAGGTGCCTGAGGCCTTGGACCGAGCGGGTCAGGGCGGGTCCAGGACGGGCTGTTGCAGGACCGGAGACCTATACGCCGCAAACACCATCGCTTCGAGCCGCTTTCTCCTCCCGTGAAGGTCCCAGCCTGGCCCAGCTGTGCTCAGGGAGGGGCAGGGAGGTCAGCGTGCTCAGTGAGCCCAGCAGGGCGGAGGTGGGGCTGCCCTCTGCGGAGGTCTGTGGGGCGGGCCCTGGGCAGAGGTCTCGTCCCTCCGTGAGGGAGCACAGCTGGTTTTCAGGGGTGGCACGAAGGCTCCCCAAGGTCACACGTCTGGGAAGGTACAGACAAGAGCTGAATGTTGGACTGGGTGAACCTAAGGTGCCCGTTCTCTGATGCCCCCTTTCACCCTGCACTGGAGCCGAGGCACAAAGGAGGAACAGGGTGGGGACTAGTGGGGGGAAAGAAACACAGGAGACAGAGTCTGTGACCTTCAGGCAGCCCTCCCACTCCGGAGACCCCACCCCCAGGCTCTGCCCGGCTCACCCGCTGTGGGGCCTCGGCTGCTGGGTCTGGGGGGCAAGCCCTCAGCGGGCTGAGCCGAGGATCTGCCAGGTCAGAGTTCCCACAGGGACCCCGACACGATTCTCACCGTCAGTTGTGAGTGGACGGTGTCCCAGGGACTGTGTGACGTCCGCGATGGGAACATGCGTGCAGAAGGGGACAAGCACCTCACGAGGCGAGGCATTCGTGAGATGCTCGAAACGTCAAACAGTGCGACCCTTCTTGCTAATTTCTTTCTTTCTTTTTTTTTTAAATCCTCACCTGAGGACATTTTTCGATATTTTGTTCAGATAGAGCAGGAGGGAGTAGGAGAGAGAGAGAGAGAGAGAGAGAAACATCGACGTGACAGGGACACATCGAGTGGCTGCCACCCACACGACTCAGTCAGGGCCAGGGACAAACTGCAACCGAGGTACGTGCCCTTAGCGGGAACTGAACCCAGGTCTCTTCAGACCGCAGGCTGACGCTCTAACCGCTGAGCAAAATCGGCCAGGGCGCTAATTTCTTTTTGATTCAGAAAACGTAGTTTTTGAAAATAGAGAAAATGTTATCTTTATATATGAAGGGTTTTATGTTGTCAGTATTTAAAAAAATTTATTTTTCTTTATTGAGTTTTAGAGAGAGAAAGGGAGAGGGAGAGAGACAGAAACATGGATGAGAGAGAACATCGATTGGCCGCCTCCGGCATGCCTCCCACTGGGGATGGGCCCACAACCGGGCATGTGCCCCGACCAGGAATCAAGCCGGCGACCTCTTGGTGCAGGGTCGATGCTCAACCACTGAGCCACACCAGCCAGGCTTAATGTTATCATTTTTTAATTGATGTTAGAGAGAGGAAGAGAGAGAGGGAGAGAGAAACATCGATGTGTTTTTCCACTTAGTTATACAGTCATTTGTTGATTCTTACATGTGTCCTGACTGAAGATCGAACGTCCAACCTTGGCATGTCGGGATGAAGCTCTAACCAACTGAGCTATCTGGCCAGGGCCGGATTTACTGTTATTTTAAAAGTAATTAGAGAGTATTTAAATTCCTTTTAGTTCTAACTTTAATGTGGTAAATATTGATAGATATAACCTATATAAGCGAAGGTTCCTTGGTCCCTGGCCAGGTAGCTCAGTTGGTGAGGGCGTCGTCCCCGTACACCCAGGTTGAGGGTTTGATCCCTGGGCAGGGCACATGCAAGAAGAACCGATAAATAAGTGGAGCAACAGACTGATGTTTCTCTCTCTCTCCTTTCCTCTCTCTCTGTAAAATCAATTTAAAAAATGTTCTCGGGGTTCTCAATCATTTTAAGAGTGTAAAGGGATCCCCAGAGAACTGCTGGTTTAGGGGGCAAATGTGAAGACAGTATACTGGGTGAGAAGGTCCGAAATCAAAGGCTGGGTGAGCTGAAGCAGCAATGCCCCCTCCCACCGTGGGGGAAAGCAGGGGGACTTCCTGGAAGAGATGGATATTTAGTAAAGTTTGAGGGTGGAAAATATTTTAATAGGCAGAACGTGGGAGTTAGGTAGGAAATTCCAAAAGGGGGGACTCTGAGGAACACTGTGGGCCTTGTTGAGACTGGGCTGTCAGCTGATTTGAACAAGCACTGGCTTCATCAGAACTGGGTCCCAAACAGAGGCTGGGGGTAGGCGGTCGGAGCAGGAGCCTCCTCTGGGCTTAGCTGCTGTGCCGGCCACCCTCAGCCTCAGCCAGGGCTCTGCGACACAGAAACAGCCTCTGCGCAAGTTTAGGGGACAGAAGGTAAGCCACCCTGCGGGGGGCCAGGGCGGGAGGTGTTTTCCTTCCGTGTTCAGCTGCAGGAGGCTCACGTTCGAAAGCTGGCAAGGAGCTGGGCTGGATTTCAGAGCTGGGTCTGTTGGACTCCTGGTTTTCGTTTTTTTTTTGGTCCTTTTCCCCTCCCCTGGTCTTCCTTTCCTTTACACTTCCCGTGTTCTTTCTAGGAACCTTGTGGATGGTCGCGGGCCAGAGTCCTGTGGGCTAGGACACCAGGAGGGGGTGCTTGCTGGAGCCCAGGTGTGAGGAGGAGGTTCCAGGCCTGCCACCTACCCAGCCCTAGGCTGCTTGCTTCCGACTTGGCTGCCTTTTGTGGGCTTGCTCTCTTCCTCCCAGGGGCGCGGGGCCTTGGCCTCCTGTCTTCCTTCTGCGGGGGTCTCCCCACCCCCTCCTGCAGTGGACAGATGTCTCCAGCCCTCCCTCTCCTCTGCGACAGGGCTTTCACAGGCTTTCCTGCTGAGCACCGGGTGCGAGTGAAAAGCAAGGGCAGTTACAATGTTACTCTGTCTGGCTCCAGGGCTTGGCAGCTCCCCTGAGCTTTCCCTTTAACTGTTGTGTGGACCCCTGTGGCACGTACGGACCCTGCACACAGTTCTCCTCCCGCTCTGTGGCCCTGCTGCCCCAGGAGGGGCAGGGCTCACTCGAGGTCTGGAGCTCCAGCTTCTTACCTGTTCCCCTCCCTAACTTCCCGTTCAGCTCAGCCTCTTCTTCGTCCCTGGGGCCTTCTGTGCCCACCCTCCCTGTCCACGTCCAGGCTCGTCTGCGGAGTTGGAATGCCTTCTTTCCCTTCTCCCGGGGCTGGGAATAGGGGCGTGCGTGAGGCCTAGACTCCCCACCACCCCGAATCTGTAAACGTGCCCTCTCCTCCTCCTCCTGTTCTCTGCCGTCCCAGCCTT